GTCAGTTAGGTGTTATGCCTGTCACCAAGAGATGTGGCTTTGGTGCAATGCAGCTTCCACCTCACCCTCTTGGCCCAGTGGCCGGGGGGGCCTCTCCTACCCAGATACTTGTTCTTACCATTCTCCAGGCATCCTCTGCTCTTCCTTATTGATAATTGTCTCCTCAGCTGTGTCTAATTTGTTCATTCTGGGTGGATGGTCTCCTATTTAGTTGCTTTCCAGTCTGTCCCTGAAATGAGGTACATGACACTTCTGCCTATTTGGCCGCCATTTTCTTCTCCTATTTGTTAACTTTTTAATTACACCATTCTGACAGGTGTGAGGTATTGTCTCATTATGGTTTTGAATTGCATTTTTATGATGATTAGTGATGTACATAATTTAGATTTTGGTTGAGCATCTGCATGTCTACTTTGGAGAAACATCTCTTCAGGTCATTTGCCCATTTTTGTTTTTGTTTGTTTTTATATGTTGAGCTGTATGAGCTTTTTATATATTTGGGATCCCATTTGTTTATTTTTGTTTTTTATTCAGCCTTACCTAGGTATATCTATCCAAATAAAACATTTCTAAGACCAACATCAAAGAGTTTACTGCCTATGTTTTTTGTAGGAGTTTTAAGGTTTCATGTCTTACATTCAGTTTTTAATCCATTTGAGTTTATTTTTTATATAGTGTAAGAAAATGGTGCAGATACATTTTTTTGCATGTATCTACCCAGATTTCCAAACATCATTTATTGAAGAGACTGTTATTTCCCCATTGTATATTCTTGCCTCCCTTGTCAGATTATTTGGCCATATAAGCATGAGTTTATTTCTGGTCTTTGTTAGCTTTCATACACTGTTGGTTGGAATGTAAAATGGTACAACCACGATGGAAAACTGTATGGAAGTTCCTCAAAAAATTGAAAATAGAACTATCATATGACCCAGCAATTCCATTTCTGGACATTTATGTGATAAAAATGAAAACACACTCTGTTCCATTTATCTATGTGTCTGTTTTTTATTCCAGTACATTGTTTATATTATTATATATTTTCAGTATAGTTTGTAATTAGGTACTGTGATGCCTTAAGCTTTGTTCTTCATTCTCAAGATTATTTTGGCTATTTGGTGACTTTTATGGTTCCATAAAAATTTAGTATTATTTCTTCTATTTCTGACAAGTAATTCATTGGCATTGTGATAGGTTTTGTGTTGACTCTATAGATTTCTTTGGGGAGTATGGAAATTTTAACAATACTCATCCTCAAATCCATGAGCACAATATATCCTTCCATTTATATGTGTCCTCTTCAATTTCTTTTAGTTTTTACAGTACAGGTCTATCATCTCCTTGCTTAAATTTATACCTAGGTATTTAATTCTTTGTATATAATGATAAATGATATAGTTTTCTTAATTTCTCATTATGATAGCTCAGTGTTAGTGTGTAGAATTGCAACATATATTTGAACATTAACTTTGTATTTGCAACTTTGCTGAATTCATGTGTTATGTTAGTTTTTTGGTCTAGTGTTTAGGATTTTCATATAGTATCATCTGTAAATTGTGAGAGTTTTACTACTTCCTTTCTAATTTGGATGCCTTTTTGTTCTTGTGTAATTTCTGTGGCTAGGATTTCTGATACTATGTTGAATAAAAGTGGTGAAAGAAGGCAATCTTATTGTTCCTGATATTAGTAGGAAAGCTTTCAACTTTTCACCATTGAGTATAATGTTAGCTGTTAGTTTGTCATGTATGGTCTTTATTATGTTGAGGTATGTTCTTTCTAAACCTAATATGTTAAGTACGGTGTCCTTCGCAGTGGGGTTCAGTATCTGAAAGAGGGGCCGGTGCACAAATGAAAATACTATACAAGAAATATGAATTTAGAAAGCATTGGGGGCCAGGTGGAACCACTTTCTTGAAGAGACACACCAAAATTGGGCCCTGTCTGCTTTTATTCGGTTTTAGATACACATCTTGCCCTTTAGTAAAGCACGGCAAACAGGTAGCAGACAGACCGTCTCTAAGGTCAATAAAGATCAGTAAAGATCACTAAGGTCCAGTAAACATTTACTTGGATGCTATCAGGTCAGGAAATTCCTTTGAGCCACCACTATCTCAGCATGAACAATCAGTGCTTAGCATCAGCCCTGCTAATGCTCAAGGTCCATCGGCCTCCTGTGTTCCTTGGTGCACACTCATGACAGTATTGTCAAGTGGTGGCTTCCCACAGTTAAGTACTTTTTTAAAGTCATGAATGGTTTCTATGTTTTTATTAATAGTTCCCCCCCCCCCGAGGTATAGTGTTAAGATGTATTGAAGTAAAAACCAAGGACTGTCTTCAGGTGCCTGATGGTCTCATCCATTACCAGGGGTGTTAGCTTGCTTGCCCTTGTAATTTTACACTGGTGAATGGAATAAGTCCAGGGCCTGGTGAGAATAAGTGCCCACCAGGAGGGTCAGGATCCAGAACTGTAACACTATCACCCTTGGCTCTGGTAGTCCAGCATAGTCTCTGCTTATATCTGGTTAGCTTAGTTTCTGTCCCTGGCTGTGCTCCACTGGGATTGCACTTGGGGACCTAGGACCGGGCTTGGAGTCATGCTTGGGCCCACATGGATGCCAGGCCTACACGGTTGCCTGTTGGTTTGCCTGTTCTCGCATGTTCTCTCCTCATAGCAGCCACTACTCTAAGCATATGTCAGATAGTTTCATTTTGTTTATGTATTGTTTTTCTGGTTTTATTTAGTGAACTTTCTGTGTTCTTCTGTAAGATGATTATTTTGAATTATTTGTCAGGCAATTTATAGATCTTCATTTTTAAGGTCAGTTTCTGGAGATTTATTTTGTCCCTTTGGTAGTGTCATATTTCCCTGATTCCTTGTGTTTCTTGTAGCTTTGTATCAGTACCTGCACTCTTAATAAAATAGACACTGTTTCCATTCTTTAAAGACTATCTTTGGCAATCTCTCATTCTTTTTTATGTATGTGCACATTTCTGTCCTCTTACTCCCTCTTGTGAAAAAAGCCTCAGGATTTTGTGCCTTCTCCCAATATTTTAGAGCCATGCTTGATGCTGCAAATTACCCAACTCTTTCCTTTAGGGCAGTGAACTCATATGCTATGACATTTAGTAGAACCCCACTTTCCTCCCTATCTCCTGAATAAGAAAACTCAGGATTGTGTGTCATTTCTCAATCCCATTGAGCTGTGCTGGGTACTGATAGCTATATTCCTTTTCTTCCCTAGGGCAGTAGGCACAATAGATTCTTATGACATAATATCCAAAGGAAGTTTTTCTAACTTCTAAATTAGTCAGGATACATATCTTAAACAGAAATTTGTTTGTTTCCCTCAACCTAGCAGATCTAACTTTACAGATGAAATCACAAGTTGAAAGTCATGTTTTGCCTTAATAAATTCATGAGAGTTCAACAAATTTACCCTGGATACCATGTTTTGTATTATTTTGGTCTTCTATCCACCAAGAGTGTGGAACTATGGAAAGAAATTGCATTTTTATTATTATACTTTTCGTATGAATTTGTTGAGGAAGTACACATAAGTAAAAGCTAGTCTGAATTGAGGAACTTCTGAAAATAATTTGAACTTTGTAAATTACATCATTGTTTCTATGCTTTATAAACATTTTTATCACTCTATATGAGACATTAAGTATTCACGATACAGATAATGACTGATGGCCCCCAATGATATGTAGATCACTTGCTATACCTCCGTTCATCTGGGAGGATCATGATTCACAGGTTAGATGACACACTGTTAAGTTTATGAGACCTAAAATATTACATCAACAAAATAGTCACCAAATCTGGAAGGAGAATTACAGTGAGCAATAATGCATCACCAGATACCAAGGAAGAGTAACTAAAATTAATAGTATCTTACAAGTTACCTTGAGTTACATAATAGATCAGGTTTCTATTGTTTAACTAACTTCCAGAAAACTAGAAAATTGAAAGTAAGGTTGTGCCGTTTTCTTAACAGCAAATTATACATTTTGATAGTTCATCATTTTTTACTAACCTTACTCTGGATTTCATTTTTGTTATTCTTTTTGTTTGTTTTAATTCTAACTTCTAATTTATATTTTAAACAACTGTATGCCATTTTAAACACTTTAAACATTTCTTATAGATACTCAAACATTATTTAAATGAATTTTTAGCAATATTGACACCATCTTGAATCTCAAAGTCCTAGAAAATGTATTTTAGAGTTTTAATAACTATTAAACATAAAGCAAAAATAATAATCATGACATTGGAAATGTAGCCTACCCATGCACAGATATAGATGTTTAAAGAGACCTGAGGTTTGATATTTTATAATCTCTTAATCTACTTTAAACTGTGACTCAAACTTGGGAAGTGTGTTTTTTCTTTACCATAAGACATTTTTGTGATTAATTTTCCAATTTATCAGCATGGAATTTATCCTCAGGCCTTATTTTTCTTTTGGGTCTGGATGCCACAAGACTACAGTTCCCAAGTTGGAGACAGATATCCACACTAGCTGGAAATCTGCTCCCTTGTTTTTCTTGAGGCCTGGACTATGTTAGAATGTCAGAGGTTAAAGTATAGTATAAAAAGGGCATTCAGAAACTGCAAAAACAGATATTTTTGGATTTAAAAATATCACCCATCTTATATTGAAATGTGGGTTACATTCAAGCAAATAACAGATAATGCCTGAATATATCATTTAAAAGCATGAAATTATGGCCAACTCAATGGAAATTTATCAGTAGATTTTAAAAACCTTTATCCTAATCTCAAAGCAATTTATATGTGTGGTTTCTGGAATAATCATGTATGCCAATCTCTAAACTGTCAAGTTTGATGGAAGTCTAATGTTACATAGCTATGTAGATCTGGAGCTGTTTGCCCTCCTTAGAATCCTTTTTAGGTTTCTGCCTTTTAAGATTTTGATGGGTTACTTATTTCATGGGAATGAATAAGATATATGTTTTTTCTTATGTCCCAGGTGCCTCACCATACCCAGGAGTGCAAATAGATGAAGAATTCTGTCGTCAGCTTAAAGAGGGGACACGAATGAAATCTCCTGAATATTCCACTCCTGAAATGTAAGTCTTTCTTCAGGCTAAGGGTCATCAGACTAAATTAACTTGGATAAAAGGGTCAAAGTAAGCATTACAGATCATGTAAGATAGTAAGTAAAATCTTGTTCAATGACAACACACTTCTTTTGCCTTTCTCAAGTATAAAGGCATACCTCAAAGGTATTGCAAGTTTATTTCCAGACTCTTGCAATAAAGGTCACATTGCAGTAATGCAAGTTCAAGTCACATAGGTTTTTTTTGTTTCTCATTGTATATCCTACATAATAAAAGCTTAATATGCTAAGTGTCTGGTCATCTGGTTGGCCATTCAACCCATCCAATCTGTCAGGCAGGCAATGAAAGTTACTTTTGCTCAAGCTATTTTAGATACTGGGATATTTTCAATATATGGACATGTTGCGGTGGAAATGGTGTTCTTTCACAGAGTTGCAAGGAAAGCATTCCAGAAGACCCACATATGGGAGATGTGGCCTAGCTCTGCAATTTATTTGGGTGGAAATGAAAGGCTGCTCCCAAGTTCCCAAAGTCTCATCTCCATCTGCCATGAAAAAAAGTCCAACCCTGTTTTCATCAGGCCCAGAAATAGGGCCAATATGGAGACATGTTGTGCCATTGGTTCAGTCCATGTCTTTGTCCTCATTGGCTAGTGTACTCTGTGTTCCTGGCTGAGTTCTGGCTGGCACTGTGCCCAGGCTCCCACTTGGAGCTCACACAGCCAGGCTACAGCAGCTGCTAGGGCTACATGGTTGCTATGGAAAGAAAAGTGCAGAGAGAGAGAAAGAGAATGCTCATTGTTAAGTTGATTATCTTACCTCAGCCTTGGTAAAGGCCAGGTACCCTTTCAAAGTAACTAATCAAGTTCCCAATCTTTTATAGGCTACACTAACCAATCCATCCTATATAATAAAAGCCTAATATGCTAAGTGTCTGGTCATCTGGTTGGCCATTCAACCCATCCAAAGCTTAATATGCTAATGATATGCTAAGGCGGCTTAACCACTCGCTATGACGTGCACTGACCACCAGGGGGCAAACAGTCGACTGGTCAACCAGTTGCTATGACATGCACTGACCACCAGGGGGCAGATACTCCAACCGGTAGGTTAGCTTGTTGCCGGGGTCCAGTCTATTGGGATTGAGCGAGACAGGCCGAACACGCCCTGGAACCCTCCCGCAGTCCTTCCCCGGATGGCCAACATCCCATGTACCCTCCAGCCTTGATCGTGCACTGGTGGGGTCCTTGGCCTGGTCTGCACCCTCTTGCAAGCTGGGCTGAGGGACCGACCCCCTGAGTGCATGAATTTTATGCACTGGGCTTCTAGTAAGAGTTATATAGTTCATCATTTTTTAATAAGCTTACTCTGGATTTCATTTTTGTTATTCTGTTTGTTTGTTTTCATTCTAACTTCTAATTTATGTTTTAAACACATGTAAGCTATTTTAAACACTTTTGAAAATTTAGGTGGGAATCAAATTAGCAAATAAAAGATGAACTATATAAGAGTTATATGCAATGGGAAACTGTAGTTTAAGTGTTATAACGTTAAGTCTAAAATGAAGCAATGTACATACCTTAATGAAAATGTTGTAGCTAAAAAATGCTAACCATTATCTGAGCCTTCAGAAAATTATAATCTTTGTGCTGGTGGAGAGTTTTGCCTCAATGTTGATTAAAATGCAATATGTGTGAAGAGTAATAAAGCAAAGAACAATAAAATGTAGTATGCCTATCATAATTTAAATATGTTCTAAGAAACTAGAAATACAAAAATCATATGAAGATGCATATACTGACATTTTTCATCAAATTCATAAATTGTGGAAAGTGTTCAACTATTATATGTAACCATGTCACTGGTCCCTTCTAACCTTAGATTTTATACTTATATATTTATTTTTTAAAAAATTGAATAAAAATGGCCACCACAAGCTTGAGTTACAAGAATAGCTTGCCTTAGCCTTTTGGAAGAGATGTGACCACACACATTATACCAAACTGGAGCCAAGTTCTTAGGATCTCTTAATGAATCAATAAGTGAATCTAGAGAGTGACATCAGAGGAATGACAGCATGAGAGGTCATCTTGTTATCTCCCTTTGAAGTTTCAACAATTTGAACAGCAATAATTCAACAAAGGATTTCTTGCTCAATGCACAACTAAGTCTGAGATGTCTACTCATTGAAATATCTGAGGATGGGCAGTAGGAGTGAACAAAGGAGATAGAAAGGGAGAAGAGGTGAGACAGTGCTAGTGATGTGCAGCTTGGAGCTCAAGGTGGGGCTCAGCCCTGAGAGGGGAGGAATCAGGTTGCCACTGGCACTCCCTTCAGCCAGAAGGAGCAAACAGATAGAGTGAACATTCCTACAGAAGTGGGCAGTACTGCCCGCAGCTGATCCCAGTGATCTGGGCAGGGGCTAAGCACAGAGGTGTGGCCATGTTTGTATGATAATTCCAGACAGATAAACAAAGCCACAGAGCCAGGCTACCCCCACTTATCCTCCTAGATCTCACCTCTGCTCAAGCTCCCAGAGCTAGAGGCAGGCCTCCCAAGAAGCTGTAGCAGTGAGTGTCAGGTTGCAGAGCACATTATCTGCAAACCCAAGAACTGGTACTATGGAAATACTTTTACCCTGAGCAACAGGCACATTGTGCAACTAATCACAGGGTTGGGTGGAAACATGGAAAGGAGGCCTCAGAGGTCAGCTAGCTAGCAACCATTATTTGGAGAGCAAAGCAACAAAGAAAGCAGCCAACTTCCCTCAGCTCACACCACCCCCACACTTTGAAGCTGGACTGCTGGCAGCATCTGGCTGCAGGGCACAGCACTTGGATATCACGGATTTGAAAACCCATTTCCCACCACATTCACCTATGTGATTAGTTCCCTGAGTCAGAGGTGACCTGAACACAGGGACAAGCCCATTTTCTACCACCCTGAGGAGACCAGAAAACCCAGAGCAGTGCAAGAGAACTAAAAATGTGTGATTCAGCACCACCTACTGGAAAACAATAGAAAGACTTTTTATCAATTTATAGAGAAATGCCATGCATACCTGGTACATAGATGCCTAGACAGAGTTAGGATCCATCAAATATTATGAACCACCAAAGTAGCAAGACAGCTCAGAAATAAAGTGAAAAATCTCCAGAAAATAAACGTGAAAATATGGAAATATCTGATTTAAATGACAGAGAACACTAGATTGCAGTTCTGAAAAAAATCAATGAGATGCAAGAAAACACAGGTAAGCAGTTTAATGAACTCAGAAACAATATCAACAAACAAAATGCGTACTTTTTCCAAAGAGATTCAATCTTTAAAAACAAACAAAATAGAAATTCTGGAGATGAAGGATTCAATAAAAGAGATAGAGAATGAACTAGTGAGCAAATGAAATAAGCTGACTAGATGGAGGAAAGAATTAGTGATATAAGAGATAGAAACCTAAAAATGATGCAAATGAAAGAAAAGAAAGACTTGACCATAAAAAAATGAAAGAACTCTAAGAGAAATATAACATTAATAGGCATACCAGCAGAAGAAAAGGAAGAGAAAGGAACTGAGATCCTATTCAAATAGTTGATGAAAACTTCCAAAACCCATGGAGAAAGAGCTAGGTCCTCAAATCTAAGAAGCAAACAGAACACCTAGTTACCTAGAAAAAAATAAAAAATTACTTTTGCAATTGCAACAAAAAAATAAGATTCCTAGGAGTACACTTAACAAACTTACCCAAAAACTACAAAGCATTATTTATTTATTTATTTGTTTATTTAAAGAGATTGAAAAATACAATGAAATGGAAATATTTTTTGTGTTCATGGGTTGAAAAAATCAACATAATTAAAGTGTCCATATTACCTAAAGAAATATACAGATTTAATGCAATTTTCATAAAAATTTCAATGACATTTAAAAAAAAAATAGAATAAAAAAAACCATCTGTTTTATGTGGAACCACAAAAGACCTTGAATAGCCAAAGCAATCTTGAAAAAATTGAAGGAAGCTGGAGGCATCACACTCTCTGACTCCAAATTATAATACAAAGTAACAATAATCAAAACGGCATGTTAGTGGCAGAAAAACAAATACACAGATGAATAGAACAGAATTAAGATCCCAGAAATAAGCCCACAATAATTTTCAATAAAGCCAAAAACATACAATGGAAGGGGGTAAATCCTCTTTAATAAATGGTGCTGGGAAATTCATGATGGCCAAGACATAGAAACAACTAAAGTGTGCTTCAGTAGATAATTAGATAAAAAAATATGTGGTACATACATACAGTAGACTACTACTGAGCCATAAGAAAAGATGAAATATTGCCATTTGCGACAACTTGGATCAATCTTGAGAATAGAATGCTAAGTGAAATAAGTCAGACAGAAAAAGTTAAGAAGCATATTATTTCATTCATATGTGGAATATAAAACTGAAAGCTACAAATGAACAAAGACTCATAGCCTCAGATTGCAGTATGGTGGTTACTAGAGGGAATGGATTTGGGGAAGTAGTACTAGTAAGTGGTAAAGGGAATCAAATATATGGTGATAGAAGATGATTTGACTTTGTGTGGTGGGCACACAATGCAATATGAGATCATGTATCATATTAATGTGCACTTGAAACCTATATAATCTTATTAAACAGTGACATCCCAATAAATTTAATATAAATTCAAAAAAGAATGAATCTACACAAACATAGCAGGTGCTAAAAACAGATTTGAAGACCTATTTTTTCAGAAAGTTTTATAGATAAGTTAATGAAAACCAATTGTTTTAATAAAAAGAAATTTCAGCCCTAACTGGTTTGGATAGAACGTCGGCCTGCAGACTGAAAGGTCCCAGGTTCGATCCCGGTAAAGGGCATGTACCTTGGTTGTGGGCACATCCCCAGTAGGCAGTGTGCAGGAGGCAGCTGATCGATGTTTCTCTCTCATTGATGTTTCTAACTCTCTATCCCTCTCCCTTCCTCTCTGTAAAAAAACAATAAAATATATGTTTTTTAAAAAAGCAATTTCAGCATGAAACTGCACTTATTGATTAATGACTTATTTGCTAGTCATTGGAAAATACAGGCTGGGAATGCTGCGTTCCAACTTAAAATCTAAAAATGATTGCATTGTTACACCAATTTACAAAGATTTGTAAAGCTATTTAAAGATCAAATTCCAATTATATAAGTTTCTAGATCAAGAGGAGAGCCCAAAATTCAAGAAGCCAGTTGGCCTCAGAACAAATGGAGCTCTCTCCCCATTCACATCATTCTTGTACTGCTAAAGGAGTTTGACAACAAATGTACTAGTAAATGCTAGGTTGCTCTTTTTAAGTTAGGGTTTTCTAAATATGTGGGCTTAGAAGTGGTCCAATTATCACTAATAATATGCATAACAGTACTTCTATGCATACAGACCTGAAACAAGTGGGTATGAAGGTGACATAAGAGTAATGGACAGGTATGGTGCAGGAAGCCTTTTAAAAAACCTCATTCTAAGTCCATAGCAGAGAACATGGCTTGAAAATAATTGCAAAAATGTGATCTGAGGTGTCATCGATTAGAAAAGTTAGAAAAGCAATGGGAATGAGAAAAATGGAGACTTTCTTGGCTTTTTTTTTTTCATTTTCAGCTACCAGACTATGCTTGACTGCTGGCATAGTGTGTGCACCCTGAGACCCAACTTCTCTGACCTGGTCGGGCGTCTTGGAGATCTCCTTCAGGCCAGTGTTCAACAGGTATTCATTGATTCCTTTATTCTATCATTCAATATAATTTTGTTGTCTATTAAGACACCGATCTTGGAGCTATGAGCACTACAATGTTGGACTATGCCCAAATTCAGTACTCAGGAAGCTCATAATCTAGTCTGTGGGAATGTAAGGGAAGTAACTATAATGTTACAGAAAAAGTGAAACAAGAAAACAGGGAAAATAATAAACCCCTGAAGAGGGTACATGTGATTAGAGACAAGGTCGGTTCTTCATTAAAATATTTATTGAACATCTGTCTAGTCTGTGCCAAGCATTGAACAGCACACTGTTGATTTAAAGATAAATGGCATGACACCTGAACTCAAGGAACACACAATCTAGTAGGAAAGCAAAATAACACAAAAAAGGTTTGTAGTAGAGTATAAAGAGTAACAGGAAGAAGGGACATAAGAGTCTTGAGAAATAAACAGGAGTTAAACTACTGGAAAAGTACAAAAGAAATTCTAGGCGGAAGGAATAGCATTTGTTAAAATTTGGTTTTGCCATGATATTTCTTTCCTCATAAAAGGTTGAACATAGCCCTGACTGGTTTGGCTCAGTGGATAGAGCATCGGCCTGCGGACTGAAGGGTCCCAGGTTCGATTCTGGTCAAGGGCACCAAAAAAAAAAAAAAGGTTGACCATAAACATAGGTGAAAATCTGCCATTCGCTGAAGGATTATCTCAATATGCTGACTTGAAACTCACCAAGTGTTTTTTTCAGCCTACTTACTGTCAATAGAATCAGGGAATTTTAATGACCTATTTCAGTGATGGTGAACCTTTTGAGCTTAGCAGGTCAAAATTTTGAAAAACTCTAACTTAACTCTGGTGCCGTGTCACATCCTATCTAATAAAAGAGAAACATGGTAATTAGCGTACTACTGCTACCCTTCCCATTGGCTAATCAGGGTGATATGCAAATTAACTGCCAGCCAAGATG